TCTTCTACAGGGTACCCTTCCAATGATAATGAATTGTATTCTCCAACAGTTAAAATTTTCTAGACCCTCCCACCCTAATTACACACTGAAAAAATACTATTGGATATGCTCTCTCCCACCCAAGGTTCTGCTGTTTACCCCATTTCCAAGAGTATCTGCACCATTTTAGATCAGAGGCCCCAGAAAGACAGGGACATTCCTATTTAAACATCTGTCACGCATAGACATATTAGGTACCAAATAAGTGCTTTTGATAATGACACAAAGTGACAGCTTTGGGAAAGCCATAGTGCCCTACCATCACCAATTACATTCAGCCATTCAAAACTGGATTGAAACCCAGACCTCCCAAGAAGAGTCCCCATAGCCTAGTCTGAGATGGAATGCATGGCATTCTTCAACCTCTCTTCCTTAAGTATCTGTCCAGATTATGCCCTTTCATGTGTTTTTGAAGTAAAAAAGAAAATCATATCCTCTCCTAAAACTTTTCCTGACTCAGGCATTTAATATTATTAATGAAGACTGAATGGCTGGAGTTTAATTATTTTAATGCTTCCAGCTCAAACTATAGAAGTCTAGGAACCAAATGTTTGGCTCATCGTAGCTAAAAGCCTGCCTATACTTTTCATGTGCATGACTATAAAATGAAAAACAAGGAAAGTGGCTTGTAATTGTATAGCAACCAAACACATGGCTTTCCCCTTTCCTTTGGGATGAAAATGCCTTCCTGTAGAAACTAAGGTTATGCCCCTACTTCTGAAGCCCAAGGAGGGACACTTTGATGTGAAAGAGGATCCTGGCCAAGTAACGGATGCAGAAACCAGTGTGGGAATAGGAGGAGCCTCCAGAAACAGGAAAAGGCATTGTCCCAGGGAGGGGTTATTTCATCCCACTCTGTCGTCATTCGGGCTGTCTGGTTTATTTCCTCCCCCAGGTTGGTGTGAGTTGGAAGGACAGTCCTTTGTTAATGAGGTCAAGAACAAGACTGACCATTTTGTGAGGTGGTTAGGGCTGAACTTTCAGATTTCAGATTTTGTAAGAAGTGACCGAGAAAAAAAATTAATCTGGGCTTCATCTAAGCAACACCAAGGCAACTGGTTAGGAAGTGAGAAGTCCAATCAAATAACATCAAACACCTTGGTTTTTCTAAGGAAATATTTCCACTGGCCAACAGCTTAGGCTTTATGCAGACATAAGACTGAAATCCTGCCTGCAGCCAGGTTCCCTCAATCAAACTCGCTAAAATAAAAAAGATTTTATTTTAAGAGTTTCATATTACAAATGAATAGCTGCTGGTCGAAGCACTGATAAACACAAAGCAATGTATAGAGCTGGGAAAATCCCTGGGCTTGTTTTCTGGGACAGCATCAGCAATGCCCCCATGTGGGTTCCATCTTTCTTGGGGACTTTCTCAGCACACAGTGTGTGTGTCCTGCAGCTCCTTGTGGGAATACTGATGCACGGGTCCTGGCAGAATCTTCAGCCAAACCTCTGTCAACTGGGAGCAGCAGTATGGGAAAGAGTGGCCAAGGCTGGTTCCATCTGGCACAGGCCCGAGGCCTCTGGCCACATTATTTTCATTGTACTTAGCACTGAATGCTTCATAGTGCTTGAGAAGGTTTTGTCTATATTAGTTTTCACAACAGTCCATATTGTAGGATATCTTTAATATTAGATTTCCCATTTAGAGTTCAAGAAGCTGCTGATCAGAAGGCTTAAGGGACTTGTCCATCATCACCTGGAAAGTGAGTATTTGACCCAGGATTAGATTGCATAAATATGCCTGGGTCTCTAATAGCTGCATAGTCCACATAGAGCATTGCCATTTTCTCTCAGAACCTAAGGGAATACTTTTCTCATCTCGTAGGAACCCCTCTCTTCCCAGGGCCCAGGGTAGCCCCTGCCAGTCTTACCTCAGGACATGAACTTGGTCTGAACTGCTGGAGTGCAAAGCACTCTTTTTTTTTTCTTTTTTTCTTTTTTTTTTTTCGAGACGGAGTCTCGCTCTGTCTCCCAGGCTGGAGTGCAGTGGCGAGATCTCGGCTCACTGCAAGCTCCACCTCCCGGGTTCACGCCATTCTCCTGCCTCAGCCTCCCAAGTACCGAGTAGCTGGGACTACAGGGGCCCGTGGAGGCACTCTCTTCTTTACTGAGGTTGGGCTCAGCTCGGCTCTTCATTCTATGTCACACAAAAAGACCCATGAGGGTTTGAGATGAGCTTGTTTTTTATTTTATTTATTTATTTATTTTTTCTAATCTGCAATACTAGTACATAAAAACAAAACCTTAGGGAGCATAAACTGAATAAGCCAAAGCTAACCTTATAAAGCAATTCAATCTGATATGGCAAAATATGAGTCATCTTCCATGTACAAGACCCAAGGATGAATGAAAACAGTCCTGACACTCCAGGAGTTCACAGCCTTCTGAGGTAGACAAATGCACACACTCGTTTGCACTACAGGGTTCACTGCATAATTGTTATGCAAGAACTAGAAACTACATGTTAAGTGGGCCCAGAAGAGGAAGGAGACACAGATTCTGACCAGGGATGTTTGGAAGCTGTCTCTGAGGAGATGGGAGGGGCCCTTGACAAGTCAGACTTGCAAAAGCAGAAACAGAGGTCCCGAGTAGTGTGATTCGCCCAAGCTCAGAATGCATTTCTTCATCCATTATACCAAATAGCTTCAGAATCATTATCTGAATGTTACGAGGGAGATATGGTGTATTGTAAAATTGAGATGATTTTTATTCTCAGCTCTATTTTGCTAAAAAAAATATTCCAGGAATAAGGCAATGGCAGAAGTGACCCATTTTTCTCATTTTGCATAAATTTGTATTTAAATTCTCACTATTGGGGACTTTCATAATAATAAGATTTATCCAGAGCCTTGCATTAGTGTTAAAGAAAGACGTTCATTCAGAGGAAAATTTTCAAAAAGATCAACATGCATTGAAATCCATTTATGTTTTCTATGTTTCTAATTGGCGTTTCTTAAAATATTTGCTAATTGCTAAATTATTTTAGCCAAGATTAAATCCCCTGGTTTTTCTACTTATTTGAGTTAGTACCAAGTGAATAGATAAGGCGAAATCTATTTCCTCCATGGAAGTAGATTAAGAGGTTATAAACATAGAATTAGACCTAACTACAGTATTAAGCCGGAGAAACTGGTCATAATGTATCCCAATGAGTTTTTTCCATGTTCAAAAATAGCATACTTGTCAAAGCACCGGAGCATTACACTGAGAGATGCTTCATAAATACTTTCTATTAATATCTCCCCTTTAAAAGTAGGTTTCCGAGAAATGTCTAATACAAAAACTTTGTTCTGCTTAGACAGATGTTCTCAAGTGTTCTTTGTTTTAAGGTATCTACTTGTGTGGAAATTTCTGCTTAAAACCAGTACTTTGAAGATGGATGTGGTGGGTCATACCTGTAATCCCAGCACTTTGGGAGGCTGAGGCGGGCAGATCACTTGAGGTCAGGAGTTCGAGACCAGTCTGGCCGACATGGTGAAAACCCCATGCTACTAAAATACAAAAAAATGAGCTGGACGTGGTGGTGTGCACCTGTGGTCCCAGCTACTTGAGAGGCTGAGGCAGGAAAATCCCTTGAACCCAGAGGGCAGAGGTTGCAGTGAGCCAAGATTACACCACTGTACTCCAGCTTGGGCAACAGAGTGAGACTCAAAAAAAAAAAAAAAAAAAAATCCAAAAAACAAAAACACCAGTACTTTGAGATAAGATATTGGGTACATGTGAATCTGACAGAGAGACTGTATATTTAATTTTGTCCAAAAATCTTAAGTCATCTGATTATACATAGTATTGTATACAGTGTTTTTCCGCTGAGAGCTGTACAACCCTAAGGTTGATGAATTCAGGCCGAGCTCCGTGGCTCATGCCTATAATCCCACCACTTTGGGAGGCCGAGGTGGGAGGATCACTTGAGCCCAGGAGTTCAAGACCAGCCTGGGCAAGACAGGAGGACTCTGTCTCAAAAAAAAAATAAATAAAGTTAATGAATTCAGTCATTTGATTAATCATTATTGAATACATATGATGCACCAGGTATTGTACTACATGCTAGTGCTTCTTTAAAGAAGCCTACAGTTTATAGAGTAGACAAACAAACACTAAACATACAAACAACACTCATTGAATGTGATGAAAACTCTATTTTCTTGAATAGAAATGGCACAGGTTATAAAATGCACCATTTAAAAAAAGTCACTTAGAAAAACTGTGGCCAATTAAACTATGACACAGTTTTGATGATAAGATTCATCCCAACTTCAGCAATGTTAAAATATGAAAAAAAGTATATATCAGAATCAGCGAAATGCAGTACTCTCAGGGAAAAACAGGACTGTGTTAGACTATCACAGGGAGATCTTTTTTTTTTTTGAAACGGAGTCTTGCTCTGTCGCCCAGGCTGGAGTGCAGTGGCGGGATCTCAGCTCACTGCAAGCTCCGCCTCCCGGGTTCACGCCATTCTCCGGCCTCAGCCTCCCGAGTAGCTGGGACTACAGGCGCCCGCCACCTCGCCCGGCTAGTTTTTTGTATTTCTTAATAGAGACGGGGTTTCACCGTGTTAGCCAGGATGGTCTCGATCTCCTGACCTCGTGATCCAGCCGTCTCGGCCTCCCAAACTGCTGGGATTACAGGCTTGAGCCACCGCGCCCGGCCAGGGAGATCTTTAAATAGGGATGGCCTCCACTCTGAGATACATTTTAGCTCGTACCTTAAGAATAAGAAGTTGGTCCTACTTCAGCCCAAGAGGAACGTTACAGGCAGCAGGAAGAGCCTCAGGTCACAGAGGCATGTTTGAGGTGACTAAATTATATTTCACAGGTTTGGTACCAGTTGTCTTGGGGCTTCTTCCAAACCACCACTGTTTTATTATAGAATTCTAAACCATTGAGGCATCTCCCTTTCCACATGGTCCTCTGCAGCTGTTGTAGCTTTCCTGCTGTTGTTGTGTGTTCTGCTTTCAGGCTGCTCATCGGCCCATCTCCTCTCATGACTGCTGCTCTGGGGACCACCTCTCTGCTCTCCACTGCTACCACTCTAGCCTGTGGCCTGCTCCTGGTTAAAGAAGCCATCAATCAAAATGAATACCACTCTGGAAATCTTGGGTGGCCTGACCTGATATTTTCGCATAGTGGCCACAGATATTTTAGGCCCCCAAGAGGTAGTCTTACTCTTTCAATTTTACTGGCTCCACTGTTTGAGGAACTTGGAACAATTTCCCCAGGGACTGGTCTGGAGGTACTGTTGAATAACACCACATTGTTTTTCTTCCTCCCCACTAAGGGCCTGTTGATGTCTCAAGACCAGGCATAAACCTTTTGGTGTTTAACTCACTCAGAGTAAGAGCCCTGCTTTCCCTCAGCACTCTTGCCCTTCGAGGGTGGGGTCACATGTTTTCTTCCTTTATTACTGGGGACATTTGATCCTGGTTTTCGTTATTTGTCATTCCCAGGGGAATTTAGTACCCTGTGTCTTGGTAAATTGTAAGACCACTGTGGATTTTGGAGTTGAGACTCATTTCCCTATCCCTCCCTTCAAGAGAACAAAGAAAGAGAGAGAACACCCAAACCCTTCATCGTTGCTCACTCACCTGTCCAGAGCCTATGGAACAGTCATTGGGGCAGCTGTCACGAGCTGTCCACACAGCTTTTCTGAGATATTGACAGTCTCATGAGGAAGTGCTTATAACTGCCTGCAATGGTTTGAATGTGTCCTCCAAAGTTTATGTGTTGGAAACTTAATACTCAATACAACAATGTTGTCAGGTGGGGCCTTTAAGAGGTGATTAGATCACAAGGGCTCTGTCCTCATGAATGGATTAAGGTTATTGAGAGAGTGGGACTGTTATGCAAGCAAGTTTAGCCTCCTTCCTGTGCACTCTGTCTTTTTCTCTCTGAAAAAGAATGGAAGTTATTAGGTGCTTTTTTTTTTCAAAAAGAACCCTGGCTCCTTATACAATCTCTACCAATTTCTTCACATCCTGTTCTAACTCCTCACATTCCATTCCTCCTTCATCTTACGTAACCTTACTATAGTTTTCATTTTCACCAAGATTTATAGTGGCTAGTCAAAATGATTTCATAAAGGATGTTAGCCATCGTGACCAGTTGGCATGTGCTTAACCACTCTTCCACTCTTAAAACACCCTTAGCTTCCCTGACACCATGTTCTTTACATTTTTTCCCATACCATTGGGTTTTATTTCACTCCTTTTGGGTTTTCTTTCTTTGCTCAACTCCTAAGTTTTTGAGTATTCTATAGGCTTGATTTTGGTTTCTCTGTTTGTTTTCTGTCTTTATGCTCATTCTAGGCACTCTCATAACCACCAAAATTATGACAATTTCCAAATTTATTTCACTAACCCCACTAAGACCCAAACTTACATATCTAACCTCCTCCTTGATATGAAATGTGATAGCTAATAATCATTTGAAACCAGAATTCCTGATTCCCCTCTCAAATGTGTTCTTGTCTTTATCATTTCAGTAAATGACAGCTACTTAGTTGTTCAAGCTAAAAACCTAGAAGTCCTTATTGATTCCTTCCTTTCTGTCACCCCTGTGTCCATCCATCAGCAAATCTAGTCAACTCACCCTCCAAAATGGATCTCAAATCTGATTATCTCTTTTATTCTCTACGTTTACTCTCTTAGTCCAAATAACTGGCTGCAGTAACTATCTAACTGGCCTCCATGCTTCTATGTTTGCTCCCCCTTACAACCCATCCTCTACATAGCATACAGGGTGATTTTTTCAGAAAAATGTCACTCAGGGCATGTCTATTCTCTGTCATTTAAATTAAACAAAATTCAGCTTCTTCGCTTTGTGTAATTTGGTCTCATCACACAAGCTTTATCCATTTGAGATTTTGTTTATTTGTTACCAGGTCCAAAGATAGATCCTTTTATTCTTTAAATGCAGATATACCTTTTCAAATAGATCCTTTCACTTTCGACTAAACCCCAGTTTTGCTGGCAAAAGAACACTGCTTTTCCTTTTTAGGAACTGGTTGTGGGCAAGTTTAAGGGACTGATAGGATGACCAGATGTGTAGTGGAGAACCCCAGTGTCATTGCACAAATGCCAACCTTCCCCATGTTCATGGCTGAGCCTAGTTAAAACTGTAGGGGAATTAAAGTTTTCTTCAGCGCACCAGCCATTTTTTTGAGGGGGTAATTATTGGTGGGAATGCCGTATCACTATCACCTGCCTCTCCTGCACTTATTTGCAAAGTTTATAGTGCTTTCTTCTAGGCCTCCATAAAAATTTGTTCTCATAATTTCTATGTGTGAAATGTAAACCCAAAAGTATCTGAGACAGGTCTCAATCAATTTAGAAAGTTTATTTTGCCAAGGCTAAGGACACACCCAAGACACAGCCTCAGGAGGTCCTGACAACATGTGCCCAAGGTGGCAGTGTACAGCTTGCTTTTATACATTTTAGGGAGACATAATAACACATCAACCAATACATGTAAGATTTACAGCAGTTCAATCTAGAAAGGCAGGACAACTCGAAGACGGGACCTCCAGGTCATAGGTAGATTTAAAAATTTTCTGATTGGCAATTGGTTGAAAGAGATATTATCAGTAGAAAACAATGTCTGGGTTGTGATAAGCAGTGGTGGAGTCCAAGGTTTTATCATGCAGATGAAGCCTCCAGGTAGCAAGTTTCAAAGAGAATAGATTGCAAATGTTTCTTATCAGATTCAGAGTTTGTGTTGATGTTAAATGCTGGTCAGTTTTTCCTGAATTCCAAAAGGGAGGAGGGTATAATGAGGCATGTCCAATCTGCCATTCCCGTCATGGCCTGAACCAGTCTTTCAGGTTACCTTAGGAGTGCCCTGGCCAAGAGGAGGGTGTCCATTCAGATGGTTGGGGGGTCATAGAATTTTATTTTTGGTTTACAGAAATCATCTGTAAAAATGTATTAAAAACAACAAAACAAACATTTTGCATTTGTTTTTAAAAGATAGCCATGGCTTGTGGCTCATACTTGTAATCCCAACACTTAGGGAGGCCAAGGTGGGAGGAACACTTGAGGACAGGAGTTCAAGACCAGCCTGGGCAAAATACCGAGATCTCATCTCCAAAAATAACAACAACAACAACAAAAATTAGCCAGGTATGGCAGCATGCACCTGTAGTCCCACCTCCTCAGGAGGCTGAGGTGGGAAGATCTCTTGAGCCTAGGAGTTTAAGGTTATAGTGAGCTATGATGGCACCACTGCACTCCAGCCTGGATGACAGACAAGAAAGAAAGAACAAAAGAAAGGATGAACAAAAGAAAGAAGGGGGAAGGAAGGAAGGAAGGAAAAAAGGAAGGAAGGAAGGAGCTCATTTGACAAAGACTCCCTTATTGAGCAAATGTAGTCAGGCTCCTCTGAGCCCTTCTTTTGACTAGACTTTATCTTTGGCCCAATCTTTGGCTTTCCCAGTCTAGTTTTAGCATTGGATACTGCTTAACCAGTTTATAGAGAACCCCACCACCTTTGATATCTAACCAAGCTCTCCTCCATACCCTTGATGTCTAATCAAGTTCCTCTCCCACAATGCCCTTGATACTTAACCAAGTCCCTCTTCAGTATGTTTCTATCCAGTGACTCCCTCATCATGCCCCTTGGATATATTCCCACTTATCCCTGTTGTATTTATTTATTGGTTGATTTTTGAGGTAGGGTCTCACTCTTGTCACATAGATTGGTATCCCTGTTGTATTTAGAATTGAATTCAACCTCTCTTCTTTATTGCAATAGTCTTGAGTAAAGTCTTCCTTGCCATTTTTAACAAGTGTCTAGTGCAAAATTTCTCTTCAATGTATTGATTCTAAGCACCTCTTTTTAACTTTTAAATTATCATTAATACTCCCCCAATTCCCCACAGTATAGATCTTCTCTTCTCACTAAGTTCTGACACATTAATTATTTAAGCAAGTTTATTATTATTTTTAAAATCATAGACATCTATCTATTCCTTGATCTCTGTTCTTTAGAGCTGCTTCACAGTTGTAATCCTGAAATCTCTTTCGCATTGCATTTGGGGATTCTTTTTGCCTTTTTCTTATGTAGGATTCCCCTATTTAATTCCCCTGTCATCTTCTTTTTAATTTTTTAAACAAATTTTTGAGGTACACGTGAAATTTTGTTACATGTCTGTAACGCACAGTGATTAAGTCGGGGTATTTAGGTTGTCTATCACCTGAGTACAACACATTTTTTGTTAACTATAGTCACCCTACTCTGCTATCAAACATTGCTTTTATCTCTTCTATCTAACTGCATGTTTGTACCCTTTAACCTATTTCTTTTCATTCTTTCTCCTTTCCCCAATCGCCTTTCCCAATCTCCATTATCTCTTTCCACTCTACCTCCAGGTAATCAAGTTTTTTAGCTTCCACATGTAAGTAAGTACCTACAATATTTATTTTTTTATGCCTGGCTTATTTCACTTAATATGATGACCTTTCATGTTGCTGCAAATGATATGATTTCATTCTTTTTTATGGCCAAATGGTATTTCATTGTGTATATTTACCACATTTTCTTTACCCATTCATCCATTGATGGGTATTTAGGTTTGTTTCATATATTTGCTATTGTGAATAGTGCTGCAATAAAAATGCAAATGCTTTGTATCCCTCTATCCCTTTGATCTATTGGTTTCGTTTGGATAGGTACTTGGTAGTGGGGCTGCTGGATTGAATTCTGTTTTTAGTTTTTTGAGAAATCTCCATACTGTTTTTCTTAGTGGCTGCACCAGTTTACATTCCCAAGAACAAAGTAACAAGTTCCCTTTTCTCCACATCCTCATCAACATCCATTATTTTTTTGTCTTTTTATAATAGCCATTCTGACTGGGGTGAGATGATGTCTCATTGTGGTTTTGATTTGCATTTCTCTAATGGATTAGTGATGTTGAGCATTTGAGCATTTCTTCATATACCTGTTGGTCATTTGTATGTTATCTTTTGAGAAATATCTATTCGTGTGCTTTCCCCCACTTTTTTTTTGAGACTGAGTCTCACTCTGTCACCATGCTGGAGTGCAGTGGCATGATCTCAGATCACTGCAATCTCTGCCACTCTGGTTCAAGCGATTATCCTGCCTCAGCCTCCCGAGTAGCTGGGACTACAGGTGCGCACCACCACGCCCAGCTAGTTTTTGTATTTTTAGTAGAGATGGGATTTCACTGTGTTGGCCAGGGTGGTCTTGATCTCTTGACCTCATGATCTGCCTACCTTGGCCTCCCAAGGTGCTGCGATTACAGGTGTAAGCCACTGCACCCAGCCTCCCCCACTTTTTAATGGAATTATTTGTTGCCTTTTTTTCCTGTTGAGTTGTTTGAGTTCCTTGTGTATTCTGCATGTTAGTCCCCTGTTGGATGAAGTTTGCAAATGTTTTCTTCAATGCAACAGGGTGTCTCTTCACTTTGTTAATTATTTCTCTTTTGTGCAGAAGCTTTTTTTTTGCTTAATTAAGTCCCATTTGTCTACTTTTATTTCTGTTATCTATGCTTTTGAAGTCTTAGTCATACATTCTTTGCCTAGACCAATGCCCAAGAGAGTTTTCCCTAGGTTTTCTT